GTGTGTCCGAGCGCGCGCTCGACAGTGCGAGAGAGACCGAGTGTGTCCGAGCGCGCGCTCGACAGTGCGAGAGAGACCGAGTGTGTCCGAGCGCGCGCTCGACAGTGCGAGAGAGACCGAGTGTGTCCGCGAGCGCGCGCTCGACAGTGCGAGAGAGACCGAGTGTGTCCGAGCAAGCGCTCGACAGTGCGAGAGAGACCGAGTGTGTCCGAGCAAGCGCTCGACAGTGCGAGAGAGACCGAGTGTGTCCGCGAGCGCGCGCTCGACAGTGCGAGAGAGACCGAGTGTGTCCGAGCGCGCGCTCGACAGTGCGAGAGAGACCGAGTGTGTCCGAGCAAGCGCTCGACAGTGCGAGAGAGACCGAGTGTGTCCGAGCGCGCGCTCGACAGTGCGAGAGAGACCGAGTGTGTCCGAGCGAGCGCTCGACAGTGCGAGAGAGACCGAGTGTGTCCGAGCGAGCGCTCGACAGTGCGAGAGAGACCGAGTGTGTCCGAGCAAGCGCTCGACAGTGCGAGAGAGACCGAGTGTGTCCGAGCGCGCGCTCGACAGTGCGAGAGAGACCGAGTGTGTCCGAGCGAGCGCTCGACAGTGCGAGAGAGACCGAGTGTGTCCGAGCAAGCGCTCGACAGTGCGAGAGAGACCGAGTGTGTCCGCGAGCGCGCTCGACAGTGCGAGAGAGACCGAGTGTGTCCGCGAGCGCGCTCGACAGTGCGAGAGAGACCGAGTGTGTCCGAGCGCGCGCTCGACAGTGCGAGAGAGACCGAGTGTGTCCGAGCGCGCGCTCGACAGTGCGAGAGAGACCGAGTGTGTCCGAGCGAGCACTCGACAGTGCGAGAGAGACCGAGTGTGTCAGCGAGCGCGCTCGACAGTGCGAGAGAGACCGAGTGTGTCAGCGAGCGCGCTCGACAGTGCGAGAGAGACCGAGTGTGTCCGAGCGCGCGCTCGACAGTGCGAGAGAGACCGAGTGTGTCCGCGAGCGCGCTCGACAGTGCGAGAGAGACCGAGTGTGTCCGAGCGCGCGCTCGACAGTGCGAGAGAGACCGAGTGTGTCCGAGCGCGCGCTCGACAGTGCGAGAGAGACCGAGTGTGTCCGAGCGAGCGCTCGACAGTGCGAGAGAGACCGAGTGTGTCCGCGAGCGCGCGCTCGAAAGTGCGAGAGAGACCGAGTGTGTCCGCGAGCGCGCTCGACAGTGCGAGAGAGACCGAGTGTGTCCGAGCGCGCGCTCGAAAGTGCGAGAGAGACCGAGTGTGTCCGCGAGCGCGCTCGACAGTGCGAGAGAGACCGAGTGTGTCCGAGCGCGCGCTCGACAGTGCGAGAGAGACCGAGTGTGTCCGCGAGCGCGCGCTCGACAGTGCGAGAGAGACCGAGTGTGTCCGAGCGAGCGCTCGACAGTGCGAGAGAGACCGAGTGTGTCCGCGAGCGCGCGCTCGACAGTGCGAGAGAGACCGAGTGTGTCCGAGCGCGCGCTCGACAGTGCGAGAGAGACCGAGTGTGTCCGCGAGCGCGCGCTCGACAGTGCGAGAGAGACCGAGTGTGTCCGAGCGAGCGCTCGACAGTGCGAGAGAGACCGAGTGTGTCCGCGAGCGCGCTCGACAGTGCGAGAGAGACCGAGTGTGTCCGAGCGCGCGCTCGACAGTGCGAGAGAGACCGAGTGTGTCCGAGCGAGCGCTCGACAGTGCGAGAGAGACCGAGTGTGTCCGAGCGTGCGCTCGACAGTGCGAGAGAGACCGAGTGTGTCCGCGAGCGCGCGCTCGACAGTGCGAGAGAGACCGAGTGTGTCCGAGCGAGCGCTCGACAGTGCGAGAGAGACCGAGTGTGTCCGCGAGCGCGCTCGACAGTGCGAGAGAGACCGAGTGTGTCCGAGCGCGCGCTCGACAGTGCGAGAGAGACCGAGTGTGTCCGAGCGAGCGCTCGACAGTGCGAGAGAGACCGAGTGTGTCCGAGCGCGCGCTCGACAGTGCGAGAGAGACCGAGTGTGTCCGAGCGCGCGCTCGACAGTGCGAGAGAGACCGAGTGTGTCCGAGCGAGCGCTCGACAGTGCGAGAGAGACCGAGTGTGTCCGAGCAAGCGCTCGACAGTGCGAGAGAGACCGAGTGTGTCCGAGCGCGCGCTCGACAGTGCGAGAGAGACCGAGTGTGTCCGAGCGAGCGCTCGACAGTGCGAGAGAGACCGAGTGTGTCCGAGCAAGCGCTCGACAGTGCGAGAGAGACCGAGTGTGTCCGAGCGCGCGCTCGACAGTGCGAGAGAGACCGAGTGTGTCCGAGCAAGCGCTCGACAGTGCGAGAGAGACCGAGTGTGTCCGAGCGCGCGCTCGACAGTGCGAGAGAGACCGAGTGTGTCCGCGAGCGCGCTCGACAGTGCGAGAGAGACCGAGTGTGTCCGCGAGCGCGCTCGACAGTGCGAGAGAGACCGAGTGTGTCCGAGCGAGCGCTCGACAGTGCGAGAGAGACCGAGTGTGTCCGAGCGCGCGCTCGACAGTGCGAGAGAGACCGAGTGTGTCCGCGAGCGCGCTCGACAGTGCGAGAGAGACCGAGTGTGTCCGAGCGCGCGCTCGACAGTGCGAGAGAGACCGAGTGTGTCCGAGCGCAGCGCTCGACAGTGCGAGAGAGACCGAGTGTGTCCGAGCAAGCGCTCGACAGTGCGAGAGAGACCGAGTGTGTCCGAGCAAGCGCTCGACAGTGCGAGAGAGACCGAGTGTGTCCGAGCGCGCGCTCGACAGTGCGAGAGAGACCGAGTGTGTCCGCGAGCGCGCTCGACAGTGCGAGAGAGACCGAGTGTGTCCGCGAGCGCTCGACAGTGCGAGAGAGACCGAGTGTGTCCGAGCGCGCTCGACAGTGCGAGAGAGACCGAGTGTGTCCGAGCGTGCGCTCGACAGTGCGAGAGAGACCGAGTGTGTCCGAGCAAGCGCTCGACAGTGCGAGAGAGACCGAGTGTGTCCGAGCGAGCGCTCGACAGTGCGAGAGAGACCGAGTGTGTCCGCGAGCGCGCTCGACAGTGCGAGAGAGACCGAGTGTGTCCGCGAGCGCGCTCGACAGTGCGAGAGAGACCGAGTGTGTCCGCGAGCGCGCTCGACAGTGCGAGAGAGACCGAGTGTGTCCGAGCGCGCTCGACAGTGCGAGAGAGACCGAGTGTGTCCGCGAGCGCTCGACAGTGCGAGAGAGACCGAGTGTGTCCGCGAGCGCGCTCGACAGTGCGAGAGAGACCGAGTGTGTCCGCGAGCGCGCTCGACAGTGCGAGAGAGACCGAGTGTGTCCGCGAGCGCGCTCGACAGTGCGAGAGAGACCGAGTGTGTCCGCGAGCGCGCTCGACAGTGCGAGAGAGACCGAGTGTGTCCGCGAGCACGCTCGACAGTGCGAGAGAGACCGAGTGTGTCCGAGCGCGCGCTCGACAGTGCGAGAGAGACCGAGTGTGTCCGCGAGCGCTCGACAGTGCGAGAGAGACCGAGTGTGTCCGCGAGCGCGCTCGACAGTGCGAGAGAGACCGAGTGTGTCCGCGAGCGCGCTCGACAGTGCGAGAGAGACCGAGTGTGTCCGCGAGCGCGCTCGACAGTGCGAGAGAGACCGAGTGTGTCCGCGAGCGCGCTCGACAGTGCGAGAGAGACCGAGTGTGTCCGCGAGCACGCTCGACAGTGCGAGAGAGACCGAGTGTGTCCGCGATTTCGTCTGAAAGTAAATGGTGGGGAGATTGGTGTAGCATGGGTAGTGAGTTGTAGATTGAAAGTAATGAGGAAATGATCTGAAACTTGGAGAGGTTTCACCAAAATGTTGTCTGTGATACAGTTGCGTGTGTAAACCAGGTCCAGTTGGTTGCCTGACTTGTGAGTACCGGTGGTGATGAGCCATTTGAGATCGAAGGAGGCCAGGAGAGCCACAAGTTATGAGCTGTGACTGATCCTCTGCTGTTCAGTCTCGATCGCCAGTAATGAAGAACCACGGAGCCAACTTTTAAAAAAAGACTTTTTATAATCCAATAAAGAAATATAGTTATTTATTTCAACCGCCTGTCTGCCTCATGTGTTCCACGGTCTGCTCCTTGGAGCGGTGTTTCGGTGTGGGGGTGGGCGGCCCGCTGGCCCCGACCTCTGACACTATCTCTGTAATATTGCTCCTCTCTGTTGTTAGTGATAACTAACGTTAACCCTTAAACACAGGGGTCGTCAAGTTCGGTCCTGGAGGGCTGGTGTCCTGCAGAGTTTAGCTCCGACCTCATAACATAATGATACCTTTGCAAATCATTAGCTAATGATTAATTAAAGCAGACAACTGGAAGTTGATGTGCATAGCTTTGGCTAATTGTGGTAATTAACATTAATTTACACTATTAGTTAATAAAATATGTTATTAAGGAATTAATACACAATGACAAATTGAATTAATAGCAATTCATGTATTACTTAATCTATTAATCATATAGACTCTTTATTAGTTGCTGATGCAGTAATCATTAATTAATGGTTTAGTTCTCCATGAGTCATACATTAACTCATGATTATCTGTGCATTAGTGAAACATGAAAAACGTGTATTAGTGCACCCGTATTGTAAAGTGTTACCAAATATTCTCTTATCATGTTGTGTGAGACAGTGTGATTTCAAAGGAAAATATCCTCTTGTGGCTGTCGTTACTGCAGGTAAGATATTTTTTGCAGCCTTGGCTTAATGTAGTAATGTAGTGTATTTCTATTTTTATACTGGACCCACGTCATTGTAGAAGTGAATCTAGGTTAGCTAATGCAGCTTTTGAGTTTAATCAAATATTTCCCTGGATGGGGGAATTCCCGGGGTGTTGTAGTCATTTATTTCTTTAAAGACTAGAATTTACTTGTGTATCCACATCCTCATTACGATCCCTTAATATTGAAAATGGCCCAATAGTTAAGCATGCAGTTTCAGTGGTACAGGGGGCAGGTGCCAACAAGGAAGTTTGCTAATGAGTAACCTTCATTTGTTAAAGAGCAACAGTGTTCAGCTCAGCCTATAAGTAAGTTATGACAACATTGAGTCATTGCAGGAGGAGTATGTTTCTGGGGCTTTGCAGAAGAGCAAGATATTCACTGTTGACTGTTGAAGTGTATGGAGGATGGCGAAGTGTAAAACAGACTGCATTGAAAGGCCTCTGTCTCTGGTCTTTGAAAAACTCGGTTGTGTTGTTGGTAGACATCCGTGTGTGTTTATTGTATTAGTTTTATGTGTGGCTGCTGCCCTTGGACCTGGTTTCATCTTTCTTCACGAGAGGGAGGCAAATGATATTGAAGACCAGTTTACGCCTGTCAATGGACCTGCCAAGTTGGAGAGGGCGATTGTGGTGGAAAATTTCCCACAATCAGAAGAGTTTTCTCAGCTACGGCTTTCGTCTGAAGGCACTTATGCCTCTGTGATCATCACAGGCTTGCACAGAGAAAATATATTAACTGAAGCAGCTTTTAATGACATTATAGAGCTAGACAGACAAGTGAAAAGTATAACGTCAGGAAACACTTTTGAGAACCTCTGTGCCAAAACAAAGGGAAGGTGCATGTCAAATGCAATTTTAGACATTATAAATTATAATGCTGCTGAAATAGTTTCTTCAAACATAAAATATCCAATGAATAATGACACATTTCTGGGAACAACCATCGGCGGTGTAGAGCTAAATCCGGATAGCTCAGCCCTAACCAGTGCCAAAGCGGTCAGGCTTTTTTATTTCTTAGACGAGAAGAAGAAAGGAGAAGAAAAGATGAAAAACTGGATTGATGGCTTTCTAAAACTCCTCTCAAACTCTACAGAACAGAAAACGGTAAGTCATGGAAATGATTGTGAGTTATGAGTTATATCTACATGTACATAACTACCTGATGACCATTGTGTATGTAAAAGTGCCTCAAATTACATCAATCAAATAATCTCCAATGACTATAATTCAAGCACCAAAATTAATTTGATAAATTGAACAACATTGATGTACATTTTCTTGATTTTTCTCCAGGATATTCATGTCTATCTTGGCTATTCATTTACCCTAACCTTTTCTTCACTGTGCTTCAACACAATGCAACACATTCATGCATACAGTAACTACAGTGAACTGTGTTTTGTGTTGCTTTTCTACAGGTCCATGTGTCTTACTTTACATCAATATCAAGACAGAATGAGCTTGAGACCAATTCAGACTCTGTGATCCCCCTCTTCTCTGTTACGTATTTCCTGGCCATTACCATGTCAATTCTATCTTGTTTAAGGTATCTCAAATAATTAAAAAAGAATCACATAAGCACATGTTTCTGTCACTGGCGATGTGATTGATCCCTATAGCTTATCCTCTTCCCCAGGTTGGACTGTGTCAGGACGAAGGTGTGGGTGGCTGCGTTCGGTGTGGTCTCCGCTGGGATGGCCGTGTTGGCCAGCTTTGGTCTGCTGCTGTTCTGTGGGATGCCGTTTGCCATGACTGTGGCCACAGCCCCCTTTCTGATTCTGGGTAAATGTCTTTTATTTCATCACCTAGTAGGTGTCTCACAGCTGATGTTCATAGGCTCACCGTCTCTGCTTTCCTCCAGGTGTTGGTGTCGATGACATGTTCATTATGATCTCCTGCTGGCAGAAGACTGAAGTTCATAAAGCCGTTGAGCTTCGTTTAGCAGAAACGTATAAAGAGGCCGGCGTGTCCATCACTATCACGACGCTGACAGATGTGCTGGCTTTCTACATCGGTCTCATGACGCCCTTCCGCTCAGTTCAGTCCTTCTGCATGTACACCAGCACAGCTCTTCTGTTCTGCTACCTCTTCAACATCACCTTCTTTGGCGCGTGTCTCGCACTGAATGGTTGGAGAGAGAAAGGCAACAGACACTGGCTGACCTGCATGAAAGTCCCAGAAGCCACTGGTGATGATGGAGGCTGTTGTGTTGGTGGGGCGTATGATGAAAACACACATAAGGAATTTGAAATGCCAATGGATTCATTCTTTAAAAACTATTACGGCCCTTTTCTGACAAGAGTGTGGGTTAAGGCGCTGGTGTGTCTGGTCTATGCCGGGTATTTGGCAGTCAGTATCTATGGATGTTTCCAAATGCAGGAAGGTCTAGATCTGAAACATTTAGCAGCAGACGGCTCATATGTTGGTAGTTACTATGACAAAGAAGATGAATTCTTCTCTGCCTTTGGTCCCAATGTCATGCTAGTTATAAAGGATGAAGACTTTCAGTACTGGAACCCAACTGCCCGCAAAAGTCTTGATTTGTGTTTGGAAAATTTTCTAAATCTGCCAGTGGCAGATTCAGGCATTTCACCGATTTCTTGGCTGAGTGCATACATGCAGTTTGGACTGAATGCAGATTTAAATTTAGGCAATGAAACACAATTCAAAAGCCATTTATCTGCATTTCTTAATCTGTCTGGTTTTAGTCAAGATGTTAATTTCACTAACAATCAAATTCACGCATCACGTATGTTTATTCAGACTGTGAACATCAGCACAGCGATCGATGAGAAGAACATGCTGGATGTATTTAGAGAAACTGCAGAAAAATGTGTTGTTGATCTGATAGTGTACCACCCTGCATTCATCTATTTCGACCAATATGCCGTCATCGTCAGTAATACAATCCAGAATATAGTAGTTGCTACATGTGCAATGTTAGTCATTTCACTCCTGTTGATCCCAAACCCTCTTTGCTCTCTCTGGGTGACATTTGCCATCGCATCTGTCATTGTGGGAGTGACCGGTTTCATGGCATTATGGGATGTTAGTTTAGACTCCGTGTCTATGATTAATCTTGTTATTTGTATCGGGTTTTCTGTCGACTTCTCTGCTCACATATCCTATGCTTATGTGTCAAGTGAAAAGTCCTCAGCGAATGAGAAAGCCATGGATGCCGTCACTAAACTGGGCTATCCGATCGTTCAGGGTGCCGTGTCCACTATCGCAGGTGTGGTGGTGCTCGCTGCTGCTAAAAGCTACATCTTCAGGACCTTCTTCAAAATCATGTTCTTAGTCATTCTGTTTGGGGCCGTCCATGGCATCGTATTCATACCGGTGTTCCTGACCTTCCTCAGCACTTGCAGTAACAGTCATGAAAAAAAAATAATAATCTTTCAGAGCAGTGACACAAGCGAACGGCAAGTAAAGGCAGTTGTGATTCAGAATGTATGGTGTGCTGATCCTGACTGTCCATAGGCACTGTGACAAGTGGTTTATAAAATGGACGGATGAACTTTTTTTTCTTTTTGTTTGAGCTTAGCTATGTATAGCACTTTTATTTGACCACGGAAGTAATATCAATCATACTGTTCTGTTCTTATGTATACACTGCATCTTACATGTTTTTGAGTATTTATATTTTAATCAAGTTCATCTTTTTCTTTTTTTCTTTTATACTTTTTCATCCAGTTCTATTTATTATATGCACATCTATTCATTTAAACACGTCAATGCAAAGACAACTTTGCATTTGTAATCCAGTTACATTCAAGTACATTGATTCGACCACATCACTGAACATTGGGAATTTTATGTTTGCATTAAAAGATCTTGATCTCAGCACAATTGTCACTGAAGTAAATGAGTAAGTAATTTATTGACACAGTATTTGCATGAATGCATAAACCCCTCTGCCGCTAATGTTCTCTCCTGGATGCCATTATATATAGCAGAGACAATATTTCCTGGTCAACATTTCCTTGTTCCTGATCCTGTTGGAATGTAAATCAGCATTACAGGTGCTGGTCATATAATTAGAATATCATCAAAAAGTTTATTTATTTCAGTAATTCCATTCAAAAAGTGAAACTTGGATATTATATTCATTCATTACACACAGACTGATATATTTCAAATGTTTATTTCATTTAATTGTGATGATTAAAACTGACAACTAATGAAAATCCCAAATTCAGTATATCCGAAAATTAGAATATTACTTAAAGGATAATTCCGGTATTTACGGTATTTAGCACTTTGAGTCTATTTTCTAGTTTGTTTTGGATGAACTAGAGTGGTGTACACAGAAATTTTAACGATGGGTCCTGTCTCGACTTTTTGACTCTTTTAGAATGGACAACTGTCAGTCAGCAGTCTTCCCCATGATTGTGTAGCCTACAGAACTTGAGGGGGCTTTCACACTGGCAGTTTAGTTGGGAACGGGGCACGGTTCGCATGAAAAATCGCTAATGTGAACGCTGTCATGCGTACCTGGTGCGCACTGGGGTACCGAACCCGAGACTACCTGGAGGAGGTGGTGTGAGTTCGGTTGCTCCCGAACCGTGCCGCGGTTCGCGTGAATGTGAAAGCAACACGGACTCGGGTGCGCACTTGTTCAGGAAGTAAAGTGACCTGCGCATGCGTTTTAGCTTATTGTGATGTATTCAGTTAAATAAAACACTTGTAAGGGATGATAGTGTTGATGATTTACCTTGGATACGAGCGATAATGAGCCTGCAGCCCCCTCAGTCTAGTGCATTGCGCGTGAAATCAGGGCACCAAATTTGGAAATCCACTGTCTCCTCAAAAGAGTCCGTCTGCAAGCAGCAGAAGCCCACCTTATGTGACACACGCACAGTAAACCTGTATTGTTCACTCAATTTATTAATTAATTAAAAAACACAATATTGACCCGCGTCCTGTTTTCTGTCATGCGCCGTGCACGTTTGCGATGACGTAATATGCACGCAAACGCACCAGGGTTCGATATTCTACCTTGTCTGTGGACATCGTTCGTTCTAAAGCCAGTGCTGGATAAACAGCAAGCGTTCGTGCGACGGTAGGCTAAATTATTTACGACAGCGGTAATGGACAATTTAGTTTCCAACCAGTAGGGCGACCGAAGAGGAAAAGTTCCATGGTGTTGCTTTAAGAAGATTTAAGAAGTTTAGAATAGGTATTTGTTAGAAATGAAGATTCCGACAAGACGTGCCATTCTTTCCGGTCTTCATTAATCCCTGGTTTAAAGAATATATAGTAAGAATATGAGGGGAGTATTACAACTCTGGCCAATAAGGACATACATTGCATCATATATGATATCCTATAGATCTATATCCTATTGCTGCCTCACTGCTTGTTGCTGTCTGTTGTGAGTGTTTGCTTCGAGGCTGTAAGCTAAGCTCCGTCTAAGTCTCCTATTCGTATTTCTGTTTTGAACCATCATTTATTATCATTTCTAGTTTTTTTAAACTACTAACTACATCTTACCTAACATCTCTGATTAACCTGACATCGCTAGCTTCCATCATTTTTAGCACAACACGCTATTAACTCGCTTGCCTGTTAATGCGCCACCCGTGCGCTCAGTTATTTTTTTATTTTTTTATTTTTCTCGTGTGCACCCGCGCCTCTGAGTTTATAAAAAGCCCAGGTGAGCAAGAATCAGTCAACAAACACGGTGAGTAATGTCTTGTCCTGTTATCGTCACCTGCACTTCATGCCACGTTTAGCATAGCCTTCCCCGTTGGCAATATAGGGTTTAGATGTGATAAATGCAAGGAGACAGTCAGGCTGACGGAGAAGATTTCAGAATTAGAGACACGCATCCAAACTTTAATTGAGGATAGTAAGTGTGCTAGAGCTTTAGATACTATTTTGGATGCGCCTAGCATAGTGAACTCTTTACATGATTCGGTTCCGGCTGAGTTATTGCCTGTGCAGCAGGGCAGATGGGTGACAGTGAGAGATCGCTCTAGTCGCAGATAAAAAAACTACTCTTCCGTTCCGATTACCATAACAAATCGATTTGCCCCTCTCAGTGAAACATCCACTGATAATTCTGTTGATTGTGCCCTGGTAATTGGTGATTCGATCACACGGAACGTGAAAATAGAGACACCAGCCACCATAGTCACATGTTTGCCGGGAGCCAGAGCGCCTGACATCAAAGCAAATTTAAAAGTGCTGGCTAATGCTAATCGTAAATTCTCTAAGATTGTTATTCACGTCGGCACAAATGATGTTCGACTCCGCCAGTCGGAGATCACCAAAATTAATATTAAAGAGGTGTTTGAACTCGCAAGTATGATGTCAGGCACTGTAATTTGCTCTGGCCCCCTTCCTGTTCGAAGGAGTGATGAGATAGTTAGTAGATTGTGTTCACTAAATAGCTGGTTGTCTGAGTGGTGTCCGCAAAATAATGTAGAATTCATAGACAATTGGAAAAGTTTTTGGGGCAAGCCTGACCTGTTGAAAAGAGATGGTATTCATCCCTCCTGGGCTGGTGCTGCTCTTCTCTCTAGTAATTTGGCTCATAGTCTTAGAGATAAAACATGACAATCTGGGGCTCAGGTCAGGAAGCAGACAGACTGGCTAAACCGACCGTCTGCTAGCGGCCTCACGTCACCAAGGTCAGATAAATCCCATCACATAGAGCCTCTTTCACCTAGATATCATCATATAGAGACTGTGTCTGTTCCCCGAATTTGGAAATCCAAAAAACTGCCAAACCCCTTTAAGGGTAAAAATTGTATTGATGTTCAACAAATAAAAAACAGATATAATACAGATGAGCAAACGATAAAGCTTGGGTTGCTGAATATTCGATCCCTTAATTCAAAAGCGCTCATAGTTGATGATATGATTTCAGATTATAACCTAGATGTGCTGTGTTTGACAGAAACCTGGCTAAAACCAAACGATTACATTACTTTAAATGAGTCTACCCCGCAAGATTACGGTTATAAACATGAGCCTCGTCTGAAAGGCAAAGGGGGAGGTGATGCGGTAATTTATAGTAATATTTTCAAAACCACTAAGAAATCTAGTTTTAAATATACTTCTTTTGAAGTGTTGGTGCTTAATGTAAAAATATATGGTGTAAATGATAAATCACGTTTGAGAATTCTGCTGGCTACTGTATACAGGCCACCAGGGCACCATAAAGATTTTATCAAAGAATTTCTATCAGAATTAGTATTGGCTGCAGATAAAGTCCTAATTGTTGGTGATTTTAATATACATGTAGATAATGAAAAAGATGCATTGGGATTGGCATTTAAAGACATTGTAAACTCAATTGGAGTTAGACAACACGTGTCAGGACCTACTCGTTGTCCTAATCATACTCTAGATCTAATACTATCACATGGAATAGATATTGATGCTGTTGAAATTCTGCAGCAGAGGAACGACATCTCAGATCATTATCTAGTCTCGTGTAAATTACATTTAGCCAAGGCTGCAAAGCCGACTCCATGTTATGAATTTGTTAGACCTATCACTTCTGCCACTAAAGATTGCTTTATCAAGAATCTTCCTAATCAGTTTCATCATCTCAGCATCCCAGATAGCTTAGAAGAACTTGATATTGCAACAGAAACTTTTAACTCTCTCTTTTCCAGCACTTTAGATGCTGTTGCTCCGTTGCACTTAAAGAAGATTAAAGAAAATAGTCCAACGCCGTGGTACAACGAGCACACCCGGGCCCTTAAGAGAGCAGCCAGAAAAATGGAGCGCAACTGGAACAAAACAAAACTAGAGGTATTTCGGATTTCATGGAAGGAGAGCTCGATTGCTTACAGCAGGGGTCGGCAACCCAAAATGTTGAAAGAGACATATTGGACCCAAAAAAAAAAAAAAAAAATCTGTCTGGAGCCGCAAAAAATTAAAAGCTTTATATAAGCCTTATAATGAAGGCAACACATGCTGTAAGTGTTATATTATTAGTATCAAAATGATAAGTAGGCTACAAATTAGAGCTTAGATCGGGCCCAAAAAATCAAGCCCGGCCCGACACATTAAACGTAATTATGAACCCGATTTTAACCCGACCATTTTTTAATGCGTGGGTCGTTATAACTGACGTTCTCAACTTTCTTTCTCCCGCCCGCAACATGTATGTTTTGTCCCGCTCCCGCCCGCAAATACACTTTTTTCAGTACCTCCAAATACTTTCAAGTTAGCCTACGTGTCACCACCATACATCCTCCTGATAAATTATTTGTTATTAAAGCATTAAGACACAAACCACTGTTAATTTAACATAAAAGCAAACAGTTTACTGCGTGCATGGTTTGACATGACTGAATGCGCGCAAAGTGCGCTCTCTTAATAATTCCTAAAAAGCTGACAGTTCATCGCGATCTCCCACATCTCTGTTATTATCAATGAAGCTGACTGCACAATGAATCTTTCATAAT